TACGATTGGCGTCGCTACTCCATGCAAGCAGGTCTCCCAGTGAATATGAATGTTTCCGTCATCAGCGGGATGGACGATATGGGCGGATATGGGATATCGAGGGGAGAGACAAAAATACACCTCACAGCACTAGGTTCAGAGGTTTAATAACGATGCTTCTTGACTTTCGTGCACTTAGATTATGTTTAAATGCTACAAATTAAGAGTGTCAATACCGAGATATTCATAACATTTGGTACATATTTGCAAATGGCGAAGGAGTGTGAACAACCAACTCCGACCTACAATTAAGATGTATTAGTTTAACACTATATCTTCTATATGATTCATACTCAAAAAATCTGTCAATTTTATCATACAACTTTTACAATCTTAATGTTCCAGTCAAATGCGAGTGAGTAAAGTATCTCGTGTACTTGATTAATTGCCACCATTTTCTAGTCTAGTTATAATCAGAAGAATTAATGACAATGAAGTCAAATAATTGTAAAGATCATCTGTGCTTGACTGTTTCTCTATCAACAAGTTGAATCAGTCACCTCTGCAAAGTGTCAAGGGCTTCAATATTGATCAGCATTTCCATAACACACTTGATGTCACAACTTAAAGAACCATTTGTTTTGCTTACTTTCACTCCCATACATCATATGTATGTGGCATCAGGTGTCCAGCAAACAAAATAACTACCATTTGAATCAGTACAATACAAAAAAGGGTATTCAAGACAAATCAAGGCTTACCCAGCCTTTTCCCTTCAAGTAATTTGTCCCCTAAAACTAGAATCACCCCCCTTGAAAGCGTCTTCAAAATTTGATCAGCCTCAATAATCTACAACCAAATGTATTCAAATAAGCTTTTAACATATGATATTGTCCAAAACTGCAGCATCCATTTTTAAAATACTCGATTCACCAAGAACATAATAATGTCCCCCTTATCGGATCCACCAAATATGGTCTCAGTAGAGTAGTGTCTACAACCAGAGTTGCCTCCTATACAGCAGCCTGCCAGAAGCCATAAAAAACCATCGCTTTCTTAAGCAAAAAAACTTGCTAAGTGTTATTTCAGCCGTATACATCAACCTTCTAATTGTGTGTGTACAAACTCTTTATATTTATAATTTAAAGAAACCGTATTACTCGTTCTTTACTTCCCCTTACTTTATATACCGTGAGGTGAAAAGAACGAGTATTGTCCTTGGTGTGGTATAATTTAGAAACATCTATTCATCTCTGTGACTAAGGAGCTTACAAGTATGAATGAATGCTTATTCTACTCAGGGAATCAGCCCTGATATTCCATAATAGAGGTTTTTTTCAGTTACCAGTCAAAAATTTTACTGCCTAGTAAAAATTTCTAAGTGTTTTTAGAGCTATGAGCTATGTGGTAGTGACTGTGAATGCACCATTATTTCATTATACTGAGTTACTAAATTACTCGTATGTATGGCATACACACTTATTTTGTTACTAGATGATTTTTTCTACAAAATTAACTTTTTGCAAAACACCCTTGTAAGATAATAAGATACACTTTGCAAACACCCAAATCAAAAGTATCTTCCAAGTTTGATAAATTGTTGCTAAATGTTTCACTACAACTTTACTAACTTTTAATAGATGTTTGTATGTTGTCACACATCACTGAAAACACATCATATATTCAGGGTTAGTGTAAAGAACGAGTTTATCTTTTTAACAGCAAATTAATTTGATGTTTCCTGTGCTCCTTGTTTATTTTTTATTTGGTGCATTGTTTGACCCAAAATCACTGTTGTAAAGCTAGATCCAATACAAGACCTCTAGTCCATAACACAAGTATACATCAATAAATAAGTAGCCCTACCACAGACTACGGAACCAATTAAAATTGGCTGTCAGTGCCTTTTGTTTTGGCTATCTGATCCCTGATAGGTATTAAATAATATTGGTACTGTTGGAATTGGACTTAGGTAGGGGTGTCAGCACACTATATGTAGAAAATCACAGGTTTTTTCCTAGTCACTCAAGTAGAGGACACACACAACAACACTCCAATATACACAATTAGTTCCCAGCCCCGGGAAGGGGTTGTGAGTGGGAGGGCGGGCCTTGCAGGTACTCAATGAATCTCAATAGGGCAGACCCAAGATAGATAACAAAAGTGTAAGACTTGGCAACCTGAGACAAAAGTTGAATGGATAACAGGACAAGAGCAAGAGATACAGAGAATTGTGAAACTCAATTAGCAGCCGACTATTCTAGTGAGCAATGACCTATCATCAAAATTAAATCAAATGGACATGAAGTGGTCAGAATTTCGTCTAAACTGGGACATTTTTGCATCAAAATTTGTGTGTTGACGATAGCTTGAAATCTAATTCATTTGATGTTAGCTGTGTGTGTTCATGTTCTTTCAAATTAACAATTGTTTGAATTGCATACATCATACAGGGGTCGTAGATTCTCTGTTGTAACAGCTGTTATAGTTTTAGGGGAATTAAGTCACTTGTGCAAATTTTGAATCATGAGCAGAAGTAGGCGAAACTCGAGGCAATGCGCGCTTTATTCTGTGAAATTCTGAATTTCCATTTTTTCACTCTGTTTGCGTTGACATAACCTTCTGCAGCTGCCGTTGTTGCATTTGGGCACTCACTTACCCGATAGTGTGAAGAATGAGGCATGCTCTCATCTCCAACAATGAAGGAACCAATCTGACGGTGCGGCGGCAAGGTGTGACAAGTTGACAGTAAATTTTAAGTGGAGGATATAGAAACTAGATTTGGTTGGACGGAGCCAATAGTTAAGTGTGTATATACCTGTGTTTGTTTTGTTTTCATACTCGTAGTATAGTCCGAGGGAGTCCGCGGACACGGCACGGTGCTGGCTAACGGAGTGTATCGGAAATCGGAATAGGCCCCGGGAGAAGAAAACAGGAATCCCGACCGGAACCAGTATCTTTATCCTGCTACATCGTCGCGAGAAAATTTGCAATACTGCTATAAATAATTATTAAAAACATTCTGGATGGTACCTTTATCCTTGCGTGATTTTTTAGAACTGTTTCCGGTCGGGATTCTTGTTTTCTTCTCTTTGAGCCGAGACCGAATAGGGTCTATTTTCGAAGGTGCCAAAGATTAAACACGAAAAACCTGTCAAAAAATAAGCAGTGAAATTCGCGTAATTTTTTATTTTACAAACTGGCGGTGTAATGGTGCAATTGAGATTTTTTTACGATTTTGTCGGGTGGTGTAACTGGTGCTCGTGGCTCTAACTGGCGGTTGGGAGTGGAACTAAGAGCCGGCGGAGGCGGAAGTGTGGCCTGGTCGACCTAGGCTCTAGGCTGCGTCGGTCATTTCACTTCGTCAGGCTCCTTGCTGTACGCAGCAGATCTGGTGAGTAATTGTGGTCTGAGCTCATTTCATGAGTATCTGGTCAGGCCCATCATTTGTCGTCCAATCTCGCACCCAACCGCGATTTGCGTTAGTGAATTTGTTTGTATAACCTAGCAGTCCTTGAACTTAAGTATTGTGGTCGAGTGTTTTTTTGTACATGGCTTTCTTGGGAGTTGATGAATGGCCTTCGTCATTATGCTGTATTATTTCTAAATGCGCGTAAACGATTCATAGTCACTGTTTTTCGAGGTTGAAGCACAACGCATGTGAAATGTATCAATGTAGTCGTCGCTAGCAACAGCGGTGCGAATACTCTGACTCCATTTGACTGTCTCCACCTTGCTTACCCCCCGGGGGCCCTTCCCTCCTCGTCTCAACCTCCCGACTATTTTCGTCACTGAAGCTCTTGAATGTCTGATTATTGCACACGATTATTTCTTTGTCTCTATTCTCTTTCCTATTTCTTCAGGTACTTCATGCTCATTTGAGGCATTCATCTAAGTCAGCACGAATGCTCGCGGCAGGGCGGTTGGTGAGATGGGCCCTGCCAATCCCTGTCCTATGTCATGTGTTGCCACTTGAGGCAGATGGGGTTGGCCTGTGTTAGAGGGTTATCCCAAAGTCTTACCCTGTGGTGGTGATGGCTTTATTCCTGTGGTGAGTTTATTCTCAAGCTTGAGTGCAATCGAAACTCGTTTTCTTCCAATTGTTAACTCCCTTTATTCCTTTTCTGACAGCTGTAATCTCCTATAAGGTTTCACATTCATTTTTGTATGGAAGTGTGGCCATGTTGAGCATTACATCTGCTTTGTTATAAGCTTTAATTTGTGTCTTTACTTCAGTTGTTTGTTTTCAGTTCCATCAATCTCATATAAAGCACTCTCGTAAGTCCACACGAGTGCCTGGGGCAGGGCTATGGGTGAGTTGGGCCCTGCCCCGTAATGTCTGTCCTATGCGAAGCCTACTATCTCCTTGCCTTTTTTTTGGCTTGAGGGGTGAGGCCATGGAGAGGGATGCCTCGCTCCCAGGCTAGTGTTATTGTTATTCTTTTGGTGAGCATTTGAGCATTACATCTGCTTTGTTATAAGCTTTAATTTGTGTCTTTACTTCAGTTGTTTGTTTTCAGTTCCATCAATCTCATATAAAGCATTCATGTAAGTCAGCACGAATGCTTGGGGCAGGGCTGTGGGTTGACTTTGGCCCTGCCCCATAATGCCTGTCCTATGCGAAGCCAACTATCTCCTTACCTTTTTTTTTTTTGGCTTGAGGGGTGAGGGGGGCGGCGGTGGTTGAGGCCATGTGTTAGCCCCACCCTGTGTTAAAGTCCACACGTTGAGAATGGTGAGGTGAAAGAGCGTGAATGCAAATGGTGCATATTTTAGTTTTTGTTTCTAACTTGTCTTTTCTTTTTGAAGCACTGTCAGACCTTTATAAATCAGATCATCACCTGCACACTTATGTTGTTTAATGGGGCTTTGTGTAGAATGTTTTACACCTAGGCTTGTGTTGACAGTCTCTTTTTGGTGAGTAGTTGAATCTTTCCTTTCTGACTAGTTGCTTCCATAGCTTTGTTTTGTTTGTAATGTTGCTATTGTGGATTCCACTTTCTTTTTAGATCTACTTTTTTCATTCCACATCTGTGTTCAAACCATCACTTAGCAATGTGAGCAAGGATCAGGAGAAAGGGCGAGGGAGAAATTCACTGATCTTGAGGATTGTAAGTGGTTGTATTTATCAACACAGAACATAGGTAGTCATCTACTAAACAAGCAGCAATTATACTTTCTTTACTTAGGTAGGTCCTTTGCATTGCTCAACTCTTTCGGCATTTGCTGCACTTAATCTTTTCAGAAATTCCCCAACCATCAGATTGAATATAGTGCTTTCTTTTTCTCTCTAGACTGCTGCCCATGTTTCTCTAAATCTGAGTTAAAAAGAGCAGTGACTTGTGACTTGCTACTGATTTTCCTCATGAAGCCGTCTCTTGATCAGTTTGGGTGGTTGAATGTAGTCCACCCTAAGATTATACCGTGCTTCCACTTGGCAGCTTATGTAAGTACTTTCCAAGTCAGTTTCTGCAAAGCATGATTTGGCACTAAACTGTTCCAGTGTATTCCTTTAACTAATTACTTTTGTTTTTACTTCAGGTCCACTGCACTGTGGACTCCGCTTTTCTTCAGCTTGTGTGTAGGCTTTGCTACTTTGAGTGTGTTATACCTGGCCTGGGGGTGAGGCAGGGACTGAAAAGATGCTCTTGTGCTCTATAGGAGTTTGCAGTACATTAGCTCAACACACCATGTAAGTATACTTCTTTTTACGCACTTAAATTTATTTACTGTTGACAAGTGTTGCAATATCTAGTTGTTGTTCTTCCTCTTGGACTGTTTGTGGCCCCCGTTCCTATACAACAAATCTGAGAGGGCTTCAGGGTAATGTTTTCTTGTTAGTCTCAAGTCTGTTTAATGTGCTGAGTCAAGCCTACTCTCTTACAGGTATTACTGCTGTGTTTGCTCTACACCGTGCATGTCTGGGAGTGTGGAGTTGCCAGCCTGCTTTATATGGGCTTGATGGAGGACCTTTATTGTGATGTCCACAACTGCAGGATACTCTTGATCCCTATCTTGCTCTCAAAGTAACCCCGGGACGTTGTACTGCTGTAAGGTGAGTTTGTTTTTATGAATTTATTACCATTTGGTTAAGTTTGAAGTTGAGACAGTAAGACTTGAGGATGTATTGTCTTGTGGTTGTGACATGAATCCCTCTCTGTGCAATATGCTAGGTCTTGTGCTCAAGTGTGACCTGACATTTATGTTGCATTTTTTGTTTTAGGCTTTGGTGCTGTGAATGCGTAATACCTGGCCTGGGGGTGAGGCAGGGAATGAGAAGATGCTCGTATGCTTTATAGGAGCTAAACAGAAATTCAATTCATTGAAGGAAGTCAGGCTGGTAGCCATTTATATCACTTTGACTTCTGTTATGTTCATTCAAACTCCCCCGAGTCACAGAAATTACTGCGATGTCAGAAGGGGAGATTAACTGGAGTTCATGGGTGGGACCTTTTGCAAGTGTCCCAAGAAATCAAAAACGTGCCAGCTATTTTTCATCAGTATTACATGGCCTCATGCAGCCACAAACAACATGTAAGTAATTTTATTTTTCTGCAAATGACTTAATGTTCCTAGTTTCAAACAAGGGTAAAAATATCTAATTTGTGTTCATCCCTTTAGACTATTGTTGTGGCCAGAATATTATTGCAAAGGAAATCTGAGAGGGCGTACTTTAAGCTCTTTAACTTTCTCCGACAAGCAGTTCCCGGTTGGGACCCAGAAGTTCTCAATTACCTGTGATCATGAGAGGTTTGGTGAATGCCATTTCTGCCAT